CCGCAATTCACTGACCTTCTTGTTTTTCTCATAGAGATCCTTCAAAAGGGCATCCAGCTCATTCTCATCAATGTAGCCACTTCCATCCTGGTGATGAGGAGCCGAGAATGAGCGCAGCACTCTGAAAGTCAGCCCCAGTGCTCCTGACCTTACTTCTTGGTCCTACCCATCCATCCCAGGGAGGTATAAATATCCAACATTCCCATTGCTCCGTATAAAAGGGGGTATTTCTATGGTGTCAGGGTGAACACGGGCTCTTTATCCTTGACCCCCAACTCTGGTTATAAAGCACATCTCCCACCATACGAGGTACATGAGCAGGGGCAGGTTAGGAAGGGGTGGAAGCAGGAGTAAGGAGGCCAGTTTACTCTCAGTAACCACTGGCTCTCATGCAGAATTATGACTGGCGCCAGGGAAGCGGTGCTAAGCATCTCTATCCTTCTGCTCCAACAATGTAATCACATTCTTCAGGCTCCAAGCACAATCATCTTCCTCTGCTACCAACTATTCTTTGCTGCGTTTTCCAGGAACCCAACCCTTGGGTTCCACAGGTCATGGGTCACGAGTGACAAGATGTGATATAGCATCAGATGCTGCAGGGGAAGGGCAGGAGGAGACCGGGTGGCCTCCTCATACTGTTGAAGTTGACCCAGTGTGGCTGGGGGCTCCCCTGTCTGGAAGGTTCCAGCACCCCTCTCTCACCTTGTCATAAAATGTGAAGATCGCATTGAACTCCTCGGCGGTCAGCTTCATGTCCTGTCATGACCAAGGTGGCCAAGAAAGAAAGCAAGGACTGAATGTTTTTTTGTGATCAGGTTGGCTTTGGGGGTGTGTGTGGAAGGGCACAGCTCCGTGGGATGAGGGAAGTGGTGGCAGAAGTGGAGAGCAAAGTGGGGCTTTTACCTGAAATTTAAGCAGGAAGTTTTCCTGAACGGGCAAGAGTCTGCAAAGAAAAGGACAGAGCCGAGATGAGAAGGCGAAGCGTAAGCAAGTGCAGTGTGACCCTGGGGGTGGGTGGGGGGGATGCCCGTCTACAAAGTGCTCGGAAAATGAGGGAAACAGACAAATCGACACAAGTCGATCTAATTTTGTCTTGAGTTTCTTGACATCTAAACTGCCACCCTCCCCATGCATTGGTCTCCAAGGCGGGGCCAGTAGCACAGGAATGACAGCGGGAATCGTATAATAAGTGACTGGGGGGTGGGGGTGGGCAGGTGCTTACCGGGACATCTCCGAGAGGCCCAGTTTGCCATCTCCATTCAAGTCAAACATCCTTAGCTGTTGGGAACAAAAAGAGGGGTCAGGGTTCTTTGCTTTGACCTTGCACGTGAGATCTTGACCTACCACCCCCTCCATCGAGAGAAGAGGAAGAGGGACAGGGGGACAGTTCTCATGACCATCTGGAGGCCAGGAGCCACTATGGTCCAGGTCAACCACTGGGAAGACATCGCGATTTCCAGTGTCAGGGAGGGACAGCAGAGGCGCAGCAGGCCAGCACCCAAAGGCCGACCCTCGCCACAGTCATCTTGGGGTGCACGCTCCCCAGCCTCACACCAACCTGGGATCAGCGCAGTGGGAGTCTCATGAGAGCTTAAACTAACAGTCTCTTTGCATGTGGCCACTGTGAGTTCCCTGCACCCCGGGAGAGGAGGGGCCCACCCATCCACTCACAATGGTCTGGGTGTACTCCTGGAGCTTGGGTTCATCATAAGGCCGGTTTGCCTTCTTCAGCAGGTCTGACAGGAACCCCTGGAAGACAAAGGGCCTCTTTCAGAGCTCCGGATCCTCCTTCACTTACTGTGGTCTTGAGGTGCGCCCCGAGTACAGCTCACAAGAACCTAACTTCTTGACCCTTGTGGCGTGGTCTTGAAGCCCTAGAGATGGCTCTGGGGACAGATTCAGCCCGCCGGATAGGTGGTAGAGACTGGCTTTGAGGGTCACTGCTTGGTCAGAGAACGTGAAGGTAGATGTGCAAGATTGAAGGCCAACAAGCTACAATCAGCTGGAAGTACCTCAAACACACCTGGCCCGGACACTGATGTGCTAGAGCAGTGGTTCTCAACCTCCCTCATGCCGCCACCCTTGCATCCGGTTCCTCATGTGGTGGTGATCCCCAACCATCACATTGTTTTCGTGGCTACTTCATCACTGTCATTTTGCTACTGTGATGAATCGGGCGACCCCTGTGAAAGAGTCGTTGGACCCCCAAAGGGGTCACGACCCACAGGCTGAGAACCGCTGTGCCCGAGTGTGGCTTCGATGAATGCGATGACCCCTCAGCGCCAGGTTACTGATTTCACGTGGCTGCTCTGCACAAGTCCAGCCATTCCGAGCTAGGCGTGGGTCCTCCTGAGCACCGCACAAACCCGTTTCTCACCCCACTCGCCTCCTCGTCCTCCAGAATCCTTAAACCTCTGCCACTCTGGCTGTGGCACCATTCTCCATGCCCTCCACACCCTCCCCAAGGCCGTACCTTGAGCTCGTTGGCTTCAATGTAGCCGCTTCTGTCTGTGTCGTACTTCCGCCAAGCCTGGAATGGGAACACCAAACTGTTTTTCTCTGGGTAAAGACATATCAGTATTTTCTACCCTTGCTGCCATTTCCCTTCAGTGTGCCAGGGCAGGTCTTGAGACTGAAGAAGGGCAAGGAGATGGGGGATGTGCACAGGTGGATCCAGGCCCTTCCTGCCTCAGGCGAGGAAAGGGAGTAACGAGCCTTGGCCATGGAGAAGGAAGGAAATGGCTGGGGTGAGAATTAGGGCCTCCCTGCTTTCACTTGCTCCAGGGGTGGCTCTCTTGCGGATCCTTTTGTAACTAGGGGTTGCAAGCGAGGGATGAAGTGTTTTGAGGGGCTGAGCAGACAGCTTCCACTAGGGCTAATCCTAGGGTCTGGTGGGTCTGGTTTTTGCTGTGGTGAAAGGAGGCATCCTTTCTTTGCTCTGGGAACATTGTAGTCTGAGTGGGCACTGAGAGGGAAGGCGAGAACTTCCTAAAGGAGAAGGGATGGGCTTTGGTGACGCTTTACTGTAGTGCCCGCTTCCTCCTCTGTGTATGGCAGCCACACCTGGGGGGAAGGCAGAATTGGTATACCAGTGGGATTCGCGATCAGATTTTTAGACCCTCCCGGAGTCACCCTCTGAGCTTTCTCATAACAATAAAACACACAAAGGTTTGTGACCTAGGCCTGGCCAGCAGGCTCCCTTTCTGCCTTCTGCCCACATGGGGACAGGGCCCTGAGTGGAGTCTCAATTATTTAATGCATGTGTTTGATCCCGGTGAAGGACCAGGACACACTCTGCTGGCCGCAGCATCTGCAGGACCCAAGAGAAGTAGAGTTTCCACAGGTGATGTGGTTCTGACCGCTTCTTTTCTCTCTCTGTGTGTGTAAGAGCAGACATTACACATTGGAAAAATGAGAGAAAATAGTTGTAGTTGCCTAAAAATGTCCACAAATGCTCCAACACACATTTCTTCAAAAGGTGGAACTCCCCCAGCGGGGTGACAGCCATGGTAAAGCCATCCGTAACAGAGCATCTTGCTCCCTCTTGGAAGACTCGGTGTGGAGAAGGCCACCTGCCATGTTGTGAGAATGCTCAAGCAGCCTGGGAACCGAGGCCAAAGCCCAGCAAGGAACCGAGGCCTCGTGCCAACGGCCACGTCAATCTGCTGTCCAGCCCCGTCAACCCTTCAGATGCATGCATGAAGCTGACATCTTCACTCGGAGCTCCTGAGAGACCCATGAGCCAAATACACCAGCTAAGCTGTTCCTGAATTCCTGATACACAGAAACTGTATGTGGTTTGTAATTGCTAAACGTGGTGTGATTTTTAAAAAAAATCTAGTAAGTAAGCACAATGGTCCTAAGAACACATGGCTCAATACAACTGTCTTGAAACCCTAGCTTAAACCTTAGCTGTTTCCATTTGGTTGAGAGAAGGCAGTGTCACTGGGGAGGGGGGCTGTCAGTTTCCACGGCAAAAGGGAGCGCTGTTCCCTAAACTTTGGACTTATTTTGATGTCTAATCATATTTTGTACATTTCCCTTCAATAATTATCCCCTTGGCTTTTTTGCCCAAACTGCACACCAGCAGCAGCACCAGACCTTGGCCTGTATTTTATTTCCTTCTTCCTCCACTGCTCCACATCATGTCCTTGTTTCATTGCTAGGACTGTGAGAAGATCTCGCTCCCATACCAGCAACGAAGACTGTGGTAGAGCAGTGGCAGAGCTCAGGGAATTTGCCACTGACTTTCTTTCAGTTAGGAACCAAGAGGAAGTGCTGGCAAAAGGGGAGGCAAATACCCAGCCTGGATGGAATTGGATTAGGAGGGTGTCTTTTCTCTGCTGAGAACCTGCCCTGGTTTCCATCACACCACTCTGCCCCGTGCCTAAAACGCACATGCCCAAGGATCGGGAGAGAGATGTGCAGGTATCCAAATGACGTCACCAAACACCTGCACGAATCTAGAACATTAGAATTTAATCCACTTTAGCCGAGACTTGGCAGCAGACTGCCTCCAAGTTGCGTACAGGAGGTGAACCCAAGTGGACCCCAGTCCACATCCAGAGCACAGTATCTGGCTACCTGTCTGAGCGAGGTCACCCGGAGCAGGCCTCGGTCCCCCTCCCCCCCATCTAGATCCAGCCCTCCTCCCCGCGTGCTGGCTCTAGGGCCGCACATTAGACTTCTCTAACCGATTAGTGTTTGTGCTCAGCCACCATTGGGCCATTCTTCTCTTCCTGTTCAAGGAGAAGAGTTCAAGAGACTGGGCTTTGTGAAATCCCAACGAAGTCCTGAGGTGTCACTAAAATTAGAAACGAAAAATGCTGGGCTGAGCAGCGGGAAGGGAAAAATCCGAGCGCACAAGGCTTTCAGGGCTGCCGAGGGGACCTAGGGACTGTTTCATGTTTTCCTCGGATACAAGCAGGACACCTGGACTGTGGGAGGATGGATCTACAAGCCAGGACACCCGAGGGGAAGGTGTTTGCTCTGTAGCTATGCTGGGACTCAGAAAGCTAAGGCAGGTCTGAGTGAGGAATGGAGGCCGCCACACACAGGAACCGCTGAGGGTTTAGAGAGGGGGAGGGGGAGGCAGGAGATAGAAGGAGAGACAAGAAGGGGAGGAGGGAGAGAGGACCAAGTTTAATCTCCTGTTAGGTTGGGATGAGGAGGAGAGGAAGGGGAGAGGAAAGAGAAATGGGGAGGAAGGTGGGGGGTGCAGAGAGAGGGAGGGGTGTTTTTTGCTCCTCTCTAAGCAAGCCCCATCACCCCCATTTTCTAGACCATCATGGAACATATCAATCTGGTCAGGCATATAGACAGAAAAACAGACACAGTGCCGCTCTGGCAAGTCTTAAGAATCTGCGGGAGCCCCTCCCTTCCCCAGTGCCAGAGACGGGCCAAGAACAGATTCAGAATATCAATTTCCCAGCTTATGGCATCTTGCCATCTTATAAACGCTGGAGAGAATCCTTTAAGGCACCATACAATTAAATCCTTATCTGATGCTTAGCTACCATTTAAAAATGGACCCTTCTGGCCAGAGAAGGTTATTTCTAACTTTCTCTCCACGAGGGACACCTTACTGCCACGTGGGCTTCTGGACCTAGCTCTCCAGTCCAGGTAGCCGTGAGTCACAGAGAGGGGATTATGGTGGCCACAAATGAATTGGATATGACTGAATGGCAGTACCAGCCACATGAAAAGCCAGTCGTAATTTACTGCAGCGGGCAGTGTGTGCGATGGAGATGGGTTGAATTTTACTCTGAGGGACACATAGACTGAATAGCTACGGCGAAGAATCCCAGAAAAGTAGCAAGAAATCACTGGTTGTTGGCTTGAAATCAAGGTTAATGTATTTGGTCAAAGCATAGGAAACATATTTAGAAGTTTAAAAAATATGGTAGAATATAGGTGATTTCATATGGCTCATCTAATACTCTCTGGTTGAAGCAGGATGTTGGATGCTATCTTTCCAAAGAGGTTCTGAAAAGTTTTCTATCCCAAGGATGGTAGTGCTCAATGTAAAGGGGCCAAGGCAGCCCAGGCCACAGTCAAACATCAAGGCAGGAAGGGGCTGGACACTGGAGTTCTCACTGGCCATTCCCAGCATTGGGATGTCCTCTTATTCCTTCTTTCCTCTATGGCAATGTGGTCCAGGGGAATGTGGTGTCTTCAGGGCTCCAGCCACATTCCCTTCAAGCATATTCCTTGGAAGTCTAGCTCTGAGGGACTCCAATGTGATTGAGGAGTCCCTGGGGGTAGTACAAATGGTTACCATGCTGGGCTGCGAACCAAAAGACTGGAGAGTGGTATCTATACCCAGAGGTACCCTGGGAGAAAGGCTTGGCGATACTTCTGAAAACCAGCCATTGACAGCCCTACGGAGCATACATCGCCTTACTAGTCTAACACATGGGATTGCCATGAATTGGGGTCCACTGGATAAGCAACTGGTTACACTATTGGATGAGAAGACAGCATGGGAGCTACCGGATCCAAACCAAATGAAACAGGCTTCTTTACTGCAGGATTTTGGAGAGACTAATATACAACTGCCTAGGATAAATCACCCCCAAGGAGATGTGTAAGCACAGCATTTCCCAAGGACCTGACTCCAGCTTCCTTCTCGCCTTCCTCCCACATCTGAGTGTGTGTGCTGGTGCCTGAACCAGGCTGAGCTGGAGGGGCAGAGTTCTAAAGGGTTAGAGACCATGCCCAGGCACTAGGGTGAGGCTGGCTGTGTACGTGGGAAGAAAGCCTCACCTCCATGAACTCAGCGCTGGAGCCCACGTGCTGCCTGAAGCATAGAAGGAAGTTCTCCTCGGTTGGCAGGATCTGCGCCAGCTATGGGGATAGAGAGACCAGCATTACCTGCCAGGGCACAGTTTCCTGTAGAATGGTCATGGAGAGGCAGCATGGGAGTCACATATGTCACCTATACATATACATACAGATAACCACATAAGTATGACTGTGTGTGTGTATACAAGAGGGTTTCAAAAAAAGTATTGGAAAAGCTAAGTGTTTTTAATGAACTTTTTGAAGCTCATATATATGGTTACTTAATTTTGCCTTTAGGAAGGGTGCTTGTCTACCACGTAGTCACCCTCCTCCTGCCTTTCACTCGGCTCCTCATACTGTTGAAGTGCCTGTTGGGTCCTGAAGACGTCTGAGCTCTCCATTCCAGTCCTAAACCATCGTCCTTTCTTCTTCTTTCCTCTTAAAGTTCACTTTCCATATGGCCGCAGCACAGAAAAGTCCCGCTTGTTTTCTTTGGTTGTTAGCTTCAGTGATGGTGGAAGGAGAGAGGGCTTTTGGTTTATTTTTCTAACTCTATTCTCCCTCATCACTTCCTGCTAACTAATAATATGTTTTCTTTTGTCTTGCTGGATTTACCTACTCTAGAGATTTCATACTTGTATAAATGTGATCACATTCTGTGTTCATTTGTGTCTAACTTTTTTTCACTTACAAGTCACATAATTCATGTAGTTGGCATGCATCAGAACTTAATTTCTCTTCTAGCCGAATAACACTCTATCGCATAGATATACCAGAATTTTAAAAATCCATTCATTGGTTGATAGGCACCTGGGTTATTTCTACCTTTGGCTATTGTGAATAGTGCTGCAGTGCATATTGGTTTGCTTGTGTCAGTTTGAATCACTGCTTCCACTTCTCTTGGGCATATACCCAGAGTAAAGCACACCTCAGTTTGACGCCTGGGCGTTTCCTGGAGCATAGAAGAGGCAGAGGGAATGAGCAGCCCTTCCCATAGCTCAGTCAGGACAGCAGGACTCACCTCTGCCATCTCAATTTTCCCATCTGAATTCTTGTCATACTTCTGCATGAACTCCTTCATCTTCTCTCCAAAGTTGTCACTCTTTGACACCTGTAGAAAGACCAAGTGGGTGGATTTCACATCAGGCTCTCATGTGAACCAAGGGTCTCACCCTCTGAATGTGACAGCAGTGGGGGTCATTTTGTATTCTGAATTCATGGACACGGAACCAGGCTGACTCAATACTCTGAGTGGCTGCCATCTTTCCCCCCTATTCCAGGCTGCATACAACCTGGGCCATCTCTTCTTTAAGGCTTACCTTTTAATTTTCAAAGGGAAACGGGACACGTGGGTATGTTTTCTACCAGGTAACTGAACATGCACATCGGCCTGTGAGATGGATTAAATCACAATCCTAACCAATTTAATTCCCGTCACTTGCTGTGAGAATTAGGCTCCCTGAGCACTCCACTGTAACAAGATGAATTGCTCAGCTTCTTCTTTAAAGACTAACCATCAAATTTGCAATATTTTTCACACTGATTTTATGCCAGAGAGAATATGCGGTTGCTCTTCAGGTGCTCCAATTGGTTCCACTTCATAGCGAGCACATGTACGGGAGCGGGACACACCACCTGGTCCTGTGCCATCCTCACAACTGTTGTCATGTGTGAGCCCACTGTGGCAGCCTCTGTGTCGGCCACCCTGTCAAAGGTCTTCCTCTTTTTGCCCAGGGCCTTGTCTCTCCAGACGGCATGTCCAAAGTCCACGAGAAGACGTCTTGACCTCCACACTCACTTCGAAGGAGCATCCAGGACAGATTTGTTTTGACCTTCTCGTAGTTCATGGCACTTTAAACATTCTTCACCTGCCCCGTGATCCCAGTGCTCAATTCTTCTTTGGCTTTCCTCATCCTTGGTCTAACTTTCACATGCATGTAAGACCATGGAAAATACCACGCTTGGCTCAGGCGCACTTTGGTCCTCAAAGCGATATCCTTGCTCCTGAAGGCTCCAAAGACGTCTTGGGTAGCAGTTTGGCCCAATGCAGTGCATCATTTGATTTCTTTGTGTGTGTGTGTGTGTGTGTGTGTGTGTGTGTGTATAAATTGTTGCATTTATTTTAAAATCACATGTATGCATATTTATGTAACAACATTTGCCATGCAACCATTTTTACACGGACACTTCAGTGACATGAAGTACAGCCTTATGTTGTACAAATATCATCACGTTCCATCACCCTTCACAGAAGTTCAATGCCTATAATGATGATAATGATTCTTTTTTAAAGAAATATTTTCATGTGTTTTCAATAAGAGCCACACATCAGTTCAGGTTCGCATTCAATGATTTCTAGGCAAGCTGTTCAGTGACATTGTTACAGTCTTCACCATGGGTGATTGTTTCGTTTGCCATTTGATTTCTAGATGCTGCCTCCATGAGCATGGATTGTGTATCTGAGAAAATCGAAATCCTTGACGACTTCATTCTTTTCTCGGTTTCTCATGATAGTGTCCCTTGTTCCGGTTCTGAAGACTTTTGTCTCCTTTACATTGACCTGTAATCCTTAGTGAAGACTGCAGCCCTTGGTCTCCGTCAGCAAGGGCTTCCCGTCCGCCTCACGTTCAGCAAGCAAGGTGTGTCATCTGCTTATGGAGGGCTGTTCATAAGCCTTCCTCCAGGCCTGATGCCGAGTTCTTCCTCCTATAGCCCAGCTCCTCGGATCACTTGCTCAGAATACAGATTGAATAAGGATGGTGAAAGAATACAATCCTTCAAAATTCCTTTCCTGATTTTAACCCACACTGTATCACCTTGTTCTCTTTAAGTGATTTGCTCTTGATGCAGGTTCCACATGAACTCAATGAAATGTTCTGGAATTTCCATTCTTCTCATTGCCATTCATCGTTTATTATAATCTATACAGTTAAATGCCAGTGCATAGCAATACAGCACAAATAAACATCTTTCTGGTAGTCTCTGCTTTCAGCCAAGATCCGTCTGATGTCAGAAACAGGATCCCTTGTGACATGTCCTCTCCTGAATCCTGCTTGGACGATTGACAGCTCTCTGTTGATGTACTGCTGCAACCATGTCAAACTATCTTTGCAAGGCTTTACTTGCATGTGACATTAATGACATTGCTCAATAATTTCCACATTCTGTCAGGCCACCTTTCTGTAGAACAGGCACAGATATGGATCTCTTCCAGTTGGTTGGTGGGATAGCTGTCTTCCAAATCTCTTGGCATAGACTGCGAGTGCACCCACCGATCTACTGGCTTGTTGGA